CAAAACTGTGTTTGAGTATTTCAGTGTGACACCTTACACAACACAGAGGCTCTATAAATCCAAGAAATGAAAGAAGTTAATTAAATTTATGTGTACACTGAAACATATGAGGTGTCTTGAAAACAGTGTAACACTGGTTGACTCACTTTAAGCTTCATCGAAAACAACACACACTAACTGCTTTGTGAGTGAGTGTGTGTGTGTGTGTGTGTGTGTGTGTGTGTGTGTGTGTGTGTGTGTGTGTGTGTGTGTTGCACATCTACAAAGTCGATTCCTAAAAGTACCCATGAGCATGTGTTTTTATGTGTGTTTATGGCTTGCATGCTGACCCTTGTGTGTGTGCATGTGTTCAGAGGGTACAGACTACGATTGTTCTCTCTGGGTGTTAGCTTTCGGAGCAGGAAGTGCACGTTCAGGTCAGGGGGGGATCTAGGCACGCTCAGTCTGCCCACATCTGTTCAAATACCAGAGACCCTCAATAAGTCACACAGGAAATATGTGTGAGTATGTGCGTGTGTGCGCGTGCTACAGAAGCCGCTCTCTGTGAGCACAATTTATAAAAATATTTGACCTTTTCGCTGCATATAACACATTCCCACAATAAGTAACAGAGGAAAATTTGTCATGTACCTGCTGTAATGTTACTCCAAAAGGGCACAGACACTGAATAAACACATCAGTCATACAGCTCCAAAGTCAAAATACAATGAAGCTTTATACTGCTGATGCTTGATAGTGTTACTAATAGTGCAAGCCACGCACTGGTATCGCGATTTTTACTTTTCCATGTCTGTTTTATTTTAAAAGAGAGAGAGAGTTTTAATATCTGGAATCTCTAAGTGCTTTTCAAAACGCATAGGATCATTCTAAAAATTCTTTTATGTTTTCTGGTACTGGTCAAGGTTTTGTTAGGGTTAGGCACAATTACAATTTGGATCGTAATGTAAAGATTTTGGTGATGGTTTAGAGAAAATACTAACTATTGGTCAGAAAAATGATGTGAACAGTGTTCTGCCATGTATGCTAAAATATTATTACGTTGCTTTCAGTTTCTGAGAGACAACCGTCATAATTTACACGGCCACAAAATGTTTCTTGTCATCAATTTTGGTGAGGACAGTCTTGATCAGTGATGTGAGCTTTGGACCAAAATGAAAAGAAAACGCATCTCCACACAAGAACATAAATATTGAAAGTTTATGTAAAACCTTGTCACATTTAATTGGTTAAGTACACTGTATTTGGTTAAAGTTAAACAACAAAAACATTTGGTTAATGTTCGTAAAAGATCAAATGTACCTTCCGCTTCATTACATATAGGGAACACTACTTCCTGCATTGGCACTTAACTTTGGCATCGGACATAAATCTTGATGTGCAGAATCATCCAATAGGGATGTAATTACTAAGGATACTGGGCTGAAATGAGATACCCATCATTTGAGAAATACAATGAAATTAGGCTAAGGACTAGCTCCCTGGGATGCCAGTAAAATGTAGACAGCACTTGATCAGCCAGATATTTATAGTTAGAGAGGGAAAACAGCTTTAACCACCATGGTATCAGCCTTTAGGAGTGGCTTCGTATAAAACTCTTTTCTTTCCAGTGCAGGGAGGCAATAATTGGGGGGGATATGTGATCCACAATTAGTGTTAGTTAAAATTCAAGCCACTGAAGCCAAGCCACTGATGACTGACTAAGCCATGTAAACAGTGCATTGCAATTGTCCAGGCACAAAAAGACAAAGGCATGAATAAGCCTTTCTAAGTCAGGGAAAGACAAAGCTGATTTAATTTTGCTAATATTTCTTAGGTAGAAGTAGCAGGATTTAAAGAGATTGTTGACGTGTGGTACAAAGTTCAGTTGAGAATTGTAAGTGATAGATTTCTAGATTTCTGGCTGAAGATTTTAGATTAGTTGCCAGTGGACCAATAAAAGGTTGTAGGTTGCTTGCTAGGTCATCTGGGCCAAATACTAAATGAAATCTGTATTGTCTGAGTTCACCTGCTTAAAGGACAAGTGGAGTTGCGTATTGTCAGTGTAACAGTGAAAGGAGTTCCCATGAAAATTATTGATAATGTCTCCAAATGTAAGCATATAAAGACAAAACAAAATGGGACCATAAACACTGGATCCTACATTTCCTATAATGCAACTTGTCTTGTCTTTCATTAGACTCTTTCTTCGTGGTTAACATCCACACCTCCAGTCTGCAACCCAGGCTATCTGTTATAAATGTGTGGTCTTCAAGCCAAGCTAACCCTGATGACATCCGGGTTATTTTCTCTGACTCTAGAAAGCTGCCTCACAGACCACAGAAGACAGTATACAATGGTTTCTAGGAATCTGTGGAGTTCCCTTTTAAATTGTGTGTAAAATTATCACAAAAGGAAATAAAACAATTCAATAAACACTGGTACTCTCAGAAAACTTTCAACAACATTTTTATTGTTCACATAGCACTGTCTGTAATACATCCACATTGACTGTTTTATTCATGCTGGTGGTCAAATGGGAAAGGACTGGCGTCAGAGGTTGTGTGTTTGTGTTTTGCTGCATGCTTCCAGGAGGTTTAGGTACAATCCGACCTTTGTACGTGCATCAGGAAAACACAACTTTACAAAGATTTAGGTAAAATGATATAATTCCTCAGCAAAACACTGAATGTTTGACAAACGTGTGCAACGCTGATTTTCATGTGACTCAATACACTCTTTTTCATGCATTTAAACTACATCCCTTTTAATACAAACAGATGCAGACAGCCACACACACACACACAAGACTGACTCATGGGCTTTTGTAATGGCAATAAAAGCCGTCTGTTTCAAACACACCCTGTTGATTAAGAGTCAGTTAAAGTGTCTGAGACGATGAGGAAATGAGTGGAAGGGTTAGGAGGGGAAAAATGTGGGAAGGACGAATGTGATGAAGAGAGAGAGAGAGAGAGTAAGGTTTTAGTAAAGAAGGATGATAGGAGGATGGGGAGAAATCGACCTGGAGGAAAGAAGAAATAAAAGTAAATGTTCCCATGTGTTGCTGGCATTCTCGCAGAGAGCAGATGAAAGCAAAGGATAGTGAGTAAAAGGGATGTCATGACGACGCCCAACCGAACTTTCACAGGGAGTGGAGAGGATGGAGAGGAGAAGAAAGGAGGAGATGGATGTGGCATGAGGGAGGTGAAGACTGAAGAGAAGAACAGGATAGGAGATGAAGGTTTAAAGGCAAACTGGGAGACATGGAGGAATGAGGAGGAGTAAAGAAGGGCACCCTCTGATTTTTAAACAACCAGGGAAGAAGTGTTCTCTCAGCATTTTCCTGAAAAACAAAGAGCAGCTCCACAAATAGAAAATAAAACAAAAGCAGAGTGAGTCCCTAAAGTACTTTCTCTCCTCCTCCGCCCCTGTGCTGCCACGTTTACGGGACAATCTGTCTATTCTTAAGAAAGAAAAGCCCTGACAGCCAGACGGGAGCCAGGGAGAGACCAAGCACCCGTGGTAATAGCTGACATTAACATGTAAACAACGCCGGGAAAGAAAAAGAAAAAAAAAAATGGGTGGGAGAGGGCATTAATACTGCTTCAGTGTACAATGTCAGTACTGTGGCTGATATTGTTTTTAATGTTTGTTTTTACTTGGTGATGACGAATGATTGGGGTCCCGGGAGAGAAGAATTATATTTCAATATTCTATTCAACCAAAGAGCCATTGTTGACTCTCAGATTGTTTGAGTCATTTTTAGAGACCCGAAGACATAAAACTTTGAAAAATTCAAACATCTGTAACAACTATAATACACCTGCTGTGATAAGTCAAGTGATGAGTCTTCTGCGATGTCTCAAAAAGCATCATCATCATCATCATCATCATCATCATCATCATGATTTACTGGTGACAACCTCCTATGCAGCATATAGCAACACTTAGGTAATGTTTATAAGTGAATGCCTGATTTTTGCAGCTCTCGCTGTACAAAACATCCTGTGTAAACTCAGAACTCAGCTGAAAGACATGGATGCCTTTTTTAAAGTACACATGTTTAGAAATAGTAATGGCTTGCTAAGTAAAAGCTGTTTTTTTAGGTATTGTAATTAATGTGTTATCACGTGTTTCATATCTGACGTAGATGAGTTAAGTTTTAACCGATGTCTGGTTTCCTGTGTTCCATAAAACAGTGGTACTGAAGGGCGTAACTTTTTGCTATCTTTTTTTGACTTTCCTTCTTGGGAAAACAAGCCTTATCTACAAGCATAGAACTATTAGAAGCTCTTCCCTTTTTACATAGAAGACATTTTAACATGATGACACAGCTGGACTCAAGCGAGGCTGCCAGGCTTGATCAGTATTTTTTTTAACACTTTCCAACTGCTAATTACTGAAATAAATATTCTCAATTTTACCTGATGCTGAAAATGTTGACTTCCATTAGCTGAATGCTGAAGATAAATTGAGTATTTTTTTTCTTGAATGGAACTGTATTTGTTGTTGCATATATAGGGCTAGAAGTGGCTCCATGTTGCTGCAAGGTTTTGAAATCCAGTCTCAAGCAGATTCCCCTTAAGACTGCAGCACTTACACTCAGTTGCTATCCACCTAGGACATGTTGGGCCTCAAAGAAGTGATATAACCAACCGGGTTATGGCCAGTCAAGTTAGGCATCTTAAGCAGATATATTCATATGTTCCATATTGCATATTGTATGGGCAAAGAGACAGTTTATAGTTCCATGAATGGTCAGAACTGTTTACTGGCCTAAATATGACATCTAGTGGATGTTAATTAGCTACTACACCTTTCACTCTGTTCACTCCTTCATTTATTCTTTCCCAGACATAGACCATGTGAAGAGACAATCTGCAATGTACTGTAGTGATACAATAAACTCAGCAATATAAAAGGGTAATATTCCCTGTGGGTAAAAAGCCAAGAAAAAAAATGTCCATTTGTGATTTTTCTCCAAATTTTAAATGACAATAAAAATGCCAAAGAAAAGGGGGGTCTAACTTTTAAAACGTTTATTGATTATAGTCAACTTTTAACATATAAAAACACATATGATCATTATGAAACATTTGTATAAAACACATTGACTATACATTGTTAGAACAAGTTGGAGATGAGTCCATGTCTTCAGGTTTGTGTGCTGTTGTGTGTCTCTGTGCTGCTGCCTTCTGCCTGTGAACACACACTCTGCTGTGTTTTCTCCTCCAAGCTCTTCTTGATAGTCAGCTCTCTCTCAGCCTCCTCAACACGTGGAGCTTTGGCCGCCTGGATGTGGAGCTTCCCATCGGGAGCCAGGTAGCAGGTGACGGCTTCGGGGTTCAGTCCTTCAGGCAGATCAAACTCTCGTCTGAACTCCTGCCGGCTGTAAGAGTAGGAGCCTTTCTCGTCCTCATGCTTCTTCTCTGTCTTCCCGCTGACTCTCAGCTTCCTGCCCACCTGTCTGACAGACAGCTCCTCTGGGGAAAAGCCTTGAGTGTCCAGGGTCAGGCCAAAGTCCTCTCCCTCTTTCTCCAGCTGGTAGGAAAGCGGTTGCACGGCCACGCTGGTTTGGAAAGGCTCCGTCTCCTCCAGGATCTTGTGTTGAAGTTTGTCCATCAGCTCCAGACTGCTGCGGAGCTCCTGTAGGTTTCTCTGCAGTAGATCCTGCTGGTGGAGCAGAGGTCTGACCTCTGGCCACAGACTGCGTACAGGCCAGTACAAGTCCATGAATGGACTGAGGGCAGACTGGAATCCATGAGAGCACAGCATCTTCACTGTGTGTTTAGTGTTGAGTCCTCTTGTTGTGAGATGAACCGCTGTTAAAGTGTCTGTTCTCTTCTGTGTTGCTTTCTGTCTCAGCAGTGGGACTGTCCCAGCTTTTATATTCTGACTGGAGGAGCTCCAGAGGCTTCAGGAAGTTTCCTGTCATTACCACAGCTCTCCACTGGGTGGGGCTGTTATTCAGGAGTGCTGACGTCACTGGATCATTCCTGTTTGGTCAGGAAGTTTTCTAAATACATTTTAGCTTCCAGGCAAAAATCATTTAATGAATTTCAATATGCAGCGGACATTGATGAGTTCCAAAAAAGACTAACAAATCTTGTGTCACTCTTTCAATTATCTGAAATCTTAAATTTCCCATTTCTTATGTTTTCTGGATGGTAGCAGATGGACAAGATAAATGAATTATATAGCCTTAATTTGACTGGGAGGAGAAAAAATATGTCATCACGATAAAATTTGTGATCAACTATTGTAACTTAACAGGACGTTTTCTAAATACATTTTATGCTGAATTGAACTAAAAGAGCAGACAAAGACCCACAGTAGATGGATTTCAAATTTGCATGAATTATTGTCAGAACTTTTTCCAGTATACATATGCTGCTTTCATCTGTAGAACATTTAAACCAAAATTCTTCTATGGGAAAGAGAACAGGGCAGAGTTAGCTCTTCCACCAGAGGACAGTGAGGATGAGGAGAAAGACGTTGATGTGAACCTGGATGAGAGCAGTGACAGCTCAGAGTCAGAGTCAGGCACAGATACAGAACCACAGGAAACAGGTAGAGGTCTTTAGTTCATCTAAGTTGATGCTAAATTAAATGTAAGACACTGAAAGAGAATGATTAAATGAAATTAGATAGGAAACATGATTCTTTTGGATCAAGGTAATAACATCCCCTGTTCTTTGTGTCTGATTAAAGGTTTATTACAATATTATTATTAGCATGCATTCCAAAAAACAATGGAACTAATATAAATGTCACTGTTTAAATACTGGTCTATGCATTTCACCAATTATTAGTTGGGTTTGTTTAGTTTTGTTTTCATTGACATTATGTTTTAGTAAAACTTGGATTTTATGGTACCTTTCACAACTGCATATTGTTGCCATGTGTGCAACTACTGCATTTTAAAAATTGTTTTAAAAAAAGTTGAAATATTTTCATTATTTAGGCTTTTCGGAGTAATAAAGACACATTATAACATTATAATCATGTTAAAATAATAATTCATGCAATAAAGGATTCATTTAAATGGGAGACGACTTCTGTGATCACATTAAAATTCATATTCAACCATTGTAACTTAAACAAGACAAAGTCCAAGGTGATGGAAACATGAAAGCAAAGAAAACCTGATGAATGTTGACTGCACCACTGAAACCTTTAAGTCATAGTTTTTAGCAATATGCTACCCTTAACTTCATGAATACTGGCACATTTTACTATTTTATATTTATTGGGAATGTTTTGTTGTTTTTTTAAGCACATATTCCACATTTGATATTAACTAATTCAGAAATTGTTTCATTAGAAACTCAATTCTGAATTAAATGCTCTTCTGTAGTTTTTGTCCACAGCTTTAAAATGATAATGAAAATGCCACAGAAAAGGGGGGTCTAACTTTTAAAACCTTTATTGATTATAGTCAACTTTTAACATGTAAAAACACATATGATCATTATGAAACATTTGTATAAAACACATTGACTATACATTGTTAGAACAAGATGGAGATGAGTCCATGTCTTCAGGTTTGTGTGCTGTTGTGTGTCTCTGTGCTGCTGTCTTCTGCCTGTGAACACACACTCTGCTGTGTTTTCTCCTCCAAGCTCCTCTTGATAGTCAGCTCTCTCTCAGCCTCCTCAACACGTGGAGCTTTAGCCGTCTGGATGTGGAGCTTCCCGTCTGGAGCCAGGTAGCAGGTGACGGCTTCTGGGTTCAGTCCTTCAGGCAGATCAAACTCTCGTCTGAACTCCTGCCGGCTGTAAGAGTAGGAGCCTTTCTCGTCCTCCTGCTTCTTCTCTGTCTTCCCGCTGACTCTCAGCTTCCTGCCCACCTGCCTGACGGACAGCTCCTCTGGGGAAAAGCCTTGAGTGTCCAGGGTCAGGCCAAAGTCCTCTCCCTCTTTCTCCAGCTGGTAGGAAAGCGGTTGCACGGCCACGCTGGTTTGGAAAGGCTCCGTCTCCTCCAGGATCTTGTGTTGAAGTTTGTCCATCAGCTCCAGACTGCTGCGGAGCTCCTGCAGGTTTCTCTGCAGTAGATCCTGCTGGTGGAGCAGAGGTCTGACCTCTGGCCACAGACTGCGTACAGGCCAGTATAAGTCCATGAATGGACTGAGGGCTGACTGGAATCCATGAGAGCACAGCATCTTCACTGTGTGTTTAGTGTTGAGTCCTCTTGTTGTGAGATGAACCGCTGTTAAAGTGTCTGTTCTGTTCTGTGTTGCTTTCTGTCTCAGCAGTGGGACTGTCCCAGCTTTTATATTCTGACTGGAGGAGCTCCAGAGGCTTCAGGAAGTTTCCTGTCATTACCACAGCTCTCCACTGGGTGGGGCTGTTATTCAGGAGTGCTGACGTCACTGGATCATTCCTGTTTGATCAGGACGTTTTCTAAATACATTTTAGCAACCAGGCAAAAATCATTTTATGAATTTCAATATGCAGCGGACATTGATGAGTTCCAAAAAAGACAAACAAATCTCGTGTCACTCTTTCAATTATCTGAAATCTTAAATTTCCCATTTCTTATGTTTTCTGGATGGTAGCAGATGGACAAGATAAATGAATTATATAGCCTTAATTTGACTGGGAGGAGAAAAAATATGTCATCAAAATAACATTTGTGATCAACTATTGTAACTTAACAGGAAGTTTTCTAAATACATTTTATGCTGAATTGAACTAAAAGAGCAGACAAAGACCCACAGTTGATGGATTTCACATTTGCATGAATTATTGTCAGAACTTTTTCCAGTATACATATGCTGCTTTCATCCATAGAACATTTAAACCAAAATTCTTCTATGGGAAAGAGAACAGGGCAGAGTTAGCTCTTCCACCAGAGGACAGTGAGGATGAGGAGAAAGACGTTGATGTGAACCTGGATGAGAGCAGTGACAGCTCAGAGTCAGAGCCAGGCACAGATACAGAACCACAGGAAACAGGTAGAGGTCTTAGTTCATCTAAGTTGATGCTAAATTAAACGTAAGACACTGAAAGAGAATGATTTAATGAAATTAGATAGGGAATATGATTCTTTTGGATCAAGGTAATAACATCCCCCGTTCTTTGTGTCTTGTGAAAGGTACCATAAAATCCAAGTTTTACTAAAACATAATGTCAATGAAAACAAAACTAAACAAACCCAACTCATAATTGGTGAAATGCATAGACCAGTATTTAAACAGTGACATTTATATTAGTTCCATTGTTTTTTGGAATGTATGTTAATAATAATATTGTAATTAACCTTTAATAACTACATATTGTTGCCATGTGTGCAACTACTGCATTTTAAAAATTGTTTTAAAAAAAGTTGAAATATTTTCATTATTTAGGCTTTTCGGAGTAATAAAGACACATTATAACATTATAATCATGTTAAAATAATAATTCATGCAATAGAGGATTCATTTAAATGGGAGACGACTTCTGTGATCACATTAAAATTCGTATTCAACCATTGTAACTTAAACAAGACAAAGTCCAAGGTGATGGAAACATGAAAGCAAAGAAAACCTGATGAATGTTGACTGCACCACTGAAACCTTTAAATCATAGTTTTTAGCAATATGCTACCCTTAACTTCATGAATACTGGCACATTTTACTATTTTATATTTATTGGGAATGTTTTGTTGTTTTTTTAAGCACATATTCCACATTTGATATTAACTAATTCAGAAATTGTTTCATTAGAAACTCAATTCTGAATTAAATGCTCTTCTGTAGTTTTTGTCCACAGCTTTAAAATGATAATGAAAATGCCAAAGAAAAGGGGGGTCTAACTTTTAAAACCTTTATTGATTATAGTCAACTTTTAACATATAAAAACACATATGATCATTATGAAACATTTGTATAAAACACATTGACTATACATTGTTAGAACAAGTTGGAGATGAGTCCATGTCTTCAGGTTTGTGTGCTGTTGTGTGTCTCTGTGCTGCTGCCTTCTGCCTGTGAACACACACTCTGCTGTGTTTTCTCCTCCAAGCTCTTCTTGATAGTCAGCTCTCTCTCAGCCTCCTCAACACGTGGAGCTTTGGCCGCCTGGATGTGGAGCTTCCCGTCTGGAGCCAGGTAGCAGGTGACGGCTTCGGGGTTCAGTCCTTCAGGCAGATCAAACTCTCGTCTGAACTCCTGCCGGCTGTAAGAGTAGGAGCCTTTCTCGTCCTCCTGCTTCTTCTCTGTCTTCCCGCTGACTCTCAGCTTCCTGCCCACCTGCCTGACGGACAGCTCCTCTGGGGAAAAGCCTTGAGTGTCCAGGGTCAGGCCAAAGTCCTCTCCCTCTTTCTCCAGCTGGTAGGAAAGCGGTTGCACGGCCATGCTGGTTTGGAAAGGCTCCGTCTCCTCCAGGATCTTGTGTTGAAGTTTGTCCATCAGCTCCAGACTGCTGCGGAGTTCCTGTAGGTTTCTCTGCAGTAGATCCTGCTGGTGGAGCAGAGGTCTGACCTCTGGCCACAGACTGCGTACAGGCCAGTACAAGTCCATGAATGGACTGAGGGCAGACTGGAATCCATGAGAGCACAGCATCTTCACTGTGTGTTTAGTGTTGAGTCCTCTTGTTGTGAGATGAACCGCTGTTAAAGTGTCTGTTCTCTTCTGTGTTGCTTTCTGTCTCAGCAGTGGGACTGTCCCAGCTTTTATATTCTGACTGGAGGAGCTCCAGAGGCTTCAGGAAGTTTCCTGTCATTACCACAGCTCTCCACTGGGTGGGGCTGTTATTCAGGAGTGCTGACGTCACTGGATCATTCCTGTTTGATCAGGAAGTTTTCTCTGAGACATTTCACTGTGGGAGTGGGGTTAACAGGGGGGAGGGAGTTTTTTTTCGTTCTATTTCGAATCTGCTTGTTATCATTAAGAATGTTTTGATCTATTTACATTTACTGATACTATGGATAACATGTATCAGTTGTTACTCAAATCAATCTCTAGGCTGCACTTTTTCCATGTGTACTGAAATACATTGATCAAAAGGTACTTAGGCAGTCATTCAGCAACAAAAATGAGAGGAAATTGAGACTAAAAGAAGTCATATGATATACATTTTGTTACATTTCTTTACCATCTCAAACTTAACAGCCTTTTTGCCTTTCTTTGAAATACATTCAGACAAACAAACAACCATCCCCCATTCAGAAAAAACATTCCCAGTTTATTTTAAGGACCATCATAACATGTATAGACTTTACTTTTGAAAAAGAGCTCTCAAAGCATTTAGGCTATTTGTATGATGTGTGAAGCATGGAATTATGTTGGTTTCCAGCACTGAACTGATATGATTCAGTCTAATTCATTTTATAACTGTATAGAGAATCAGAACATTTAAAAATGTAAACTTTAAATTAAAAAACTTCCACTGTGCCAAATAGATTTTGTGGTCATATTTTGAAGACGAGGGCCATAAACATGAGAAAGATTAGTTTCACACACTTATTGTACTCACTCAAATGCACTTATTATAGGGGGGAAAGCACACATCTCTTATACAAAATGTGTTTTATTTTTCAACCAAACCTAGGGAGGGAGGTTTTTTATTGTAATAACCTGCATCCTCATGTAGGGACACAAACAAACTGTGGTCACAAAATCCTGAGTGGAGGTCGGACATCCCTCCCTTTGATGGGACAAATCCTATCAACCAGGGCTTTATTCTGGGCCGGTACACTGGAGCTTAATCCCATCAGCGGGATGGATGATGAATAGCGGCGTGGTCGTCTGTGTGAAACAGGCTGCAAAAACAAGCTCCTTTCCCTTTTTATGAATGAACGCTGGGTCCCATGATCCGGCCAGCCAATGAGCAGCTCGCACCTGCACCCCCTTTGCAGCTCTGCAGCAACAAGAGGTCACTACACTTGAAAACGTGGAGGGAAGAGCGGAGCGCACAGCAGCGACAGCCCGCAGCAGCTTCACACGGATCCAGCAGGCCTTCATACGCACATACAGAGACACCAGAGAGGGGCTCCTTGTTCCATCAACAGACCGCGATGCCGCTGAATAACGGCAACACCGTGGCCGTGGAGAGACGCATGGATCTGGCCTCGCTCTTCTGCATGATCGGGCGGCACGGTCCCGCCGTGGCTCTGGCTGTCATAGCGATGGTGTCCGTGCTGGCGGGTTTCATCATCTACCGGACCGTGAGGGGGAAGCGGAGGAAGGCCACAGCCGCAGCCGGAGACGGAGACGGGAGGAGCGCCGGAGCGGAGATAGACGCAGCGATGGTCCAGCCGAGCCCGGAGGAATCCCGCAGCTCCGTGGAGTCAACAGGTAAAAAAGATCCGCAAAAAAAACAACCTGTCAGGTTTAAGGTTACTGCGGTCTACAGGTGTGGGAATTCACAGGTCACTTTAGGAATATTAGCCTATAGGTGATGGTGATTCGGTTTAGGACCCCAGTAGAAATACAGAGGAATATCACAGAAATATGACAGTCCTTTGAGAAATGCAATGCCATAAGGAGCCTATAAGAGCTGCCTGCTGCAGATAATGTTAGTATTAATATCTAGCCTGAGTTATGTTACAGTGGTACTTTATAAATAGGATATCATAACATAATATTTAGCCATTATTATCTTTGGGACATTAGTCAAAGCTGACCTCATAGGCCATACTGATCCAGATAGACATTTAAAAGGACAGATTAAATGACCATAGTAGTACAAGTATTCTACAAGTACATTAACTTCAGTCCTCTACATAGGTAGGCCTATACAAATTTGAGCTACTTGTACTTCCATGCTACTTTCTACTTCTGCTGCACCACAATGCAAGAGGGAAATAATATACTTTTAGTACATTAATCTGACAGCTGGAACTACTGATTACTTTCCAGATTAAGATTTTGCAAACAAAACATTTCATGAGCTCATAGAATATGATGTATTGTTAGATTAAACTACAAAACTACACTATAGTACAACTATAAAATGGTAAAACTGACTCAACCTCGACCAACAATAAAAGTAAAATGCTGCCTGCACACGAGTCCATCCACAAAAATAATCTAGTAACATATGTAATAAAATAACACTCGCATAGGGCGATTTTTCTGAATTATGAGTTCTCCTGCCTTGTACATGATGCTATTAATACTATAGTGGATTCAGCTACAGACATAATGAGATCAAACTGACTTATAAGGGTATGCAAGAGAAATACTTGCCAGGTCAAATAAGGCCTTAAAAGGAGAAGACATACAATCAACAAACAATTACTATTGCTAAGTGCATAGATTACTTATCCTGTGATTAGATTTTCTGCTGTCCTGCCATTTTACAAAGGAACAAAGATGGATAAGACACAAGTACAAAAACAACATTTGTTTCTTTGTAAACTCATCAAATATTAATTTACAGGTTTAAACAAGTAAAATTTATTTTAATTTAAAATAACCTGTCTAATATTTAGCAGCACACCACTCATCTATTCTACTTTTCAAGTTATAAAGTCTGACATAAATAAAAATAAGTACAACCTTAATTAAAAATAAACTCAATGTACTGTAAATGATATGACTAGTGTTTAGTATTTGTGTAAAGTAGTTTAAGTGTTGTGTGTTGTATAATATGTGCTTTTTTCTATCTTGTTATAGACGTGAGTGATGAAGGCTTATCAGATGTGAAAGAAGATGTTGAGCTGATTCAGAGTGATCTCAAAATCAGGCACCGCCGTGCTGCAGCTGCTGCTGCTGAGAAAAAATCTCCACCTTATTCTCCTCCCAAGAGTGACATCCAAGTACCAGACATCAAGCACACTGCTTCAGCTCACACAGAAGAAATGCATACAGAGATGTATGCAGAAGAGGCCAGTCAGGGCCTGCAAAGTGATACTTACACAGTGGCTGAAATGGTGGATGAGGATGCAGTTGATTGCCACCAGGGTGCAACAGATGGCATTGTTGAGGATGTGATAGAAGAGGGCCGTGATAATGATAGCTGCTTGGAGGAGTCTGAGCCGATTAATGATGAGAACCATGAGGAAGAAGAGAAGGTGAGCAGCAATTTGTGTCTGTGTGAGACTGAAATATTGTTTCAGAGGCATGGACAAACACACCAACTTCAGTAGATTATTTTAACGCGTTATATTAACCATAAATTATATAACTTTGAATAATTTGCACTTTGCAGCTCTTTGCGGCTTTTTAGCCTCTATCAGTTTATTGTTTTGGTTCGCTGTATGGGTCAGTCTCACTATTCTCAACAGCCCCTTTTCTATCAGCATCAGAAGCTCCGATAAACCCATTGTATGCTACTGACTCTTTACCGCATACCAGACAGACAAAGTGAGCAAGCATCTGGTAAATAAAGTGGAACATCTAGAAGTTAAAGAGTCGGATATTTGGAGTTTGGAGTTTGAGCATAGATAGGGTAGGTAATATTGAAAATTTCATTTATCAGGTGGCCAGAAACACAATCAGTGAATGCTAATGTTGCTCCATGACTGTTGGATGTGTAAATAACCTACTAACGTGTTACTACATTTTAAAGACGATAATATCTCCGTACTGTGTATGTCAGCTTATTGTGAAGCTTCTGCCCCCAGCTGGCCAAAAATCAATGAATGCAGCTTTAAAGTAATAGTTTATCATTTTTGGAATATGCTTTTTCTTGCGGAGAGTTAGATCAGAAAATTGCAGCAAACATGTGCGTTAAATATTAAGCTACAGCCAGAAAACAATTAGCTTAGCTTAGCACAAAGAAGTAGGGGGAAATGGCTCTGTCTAAAAGTAACAAAATCCGACAACTGGCACCTATAAAGCTCACTAATAAACACGTAATATCTTATTTCTAACCATACCAAAACTGAAGTGTAAAAACAATAAAAACAATGGCAACCTCAGAGAGGGCAACCTTAACAAGACTCAAGGAAGTCACAACACCCGGCCTAGAAATAGACAAACACATAACCCCGTGTTCCACCACACTTATAATATAATATAATGTGTTCATTTTGTTACCTTTGGACAGAGCCAGGTTAGCTGTTAACCTTGTTTTCCATTCTAAACTAACCTAACCAGTGGCATGGCTGTAGCTCCATATTTAGCAAATGTATAGAGTGGCGCCAATCTTCTCATCTAACTCTCGACGAACTTCTGATCTACCACTCGGCAAGAGAGCAAATAAGTATAATTCCCAATTTGTCTGAACTGTTTCTTTAAGGATTTGGAGCACCAACACACATTTCTCTCTCACCTACATATCCGTTATCCTTAGACCTCATTCTCTCTGTGGTTTCAGACTAGTGCAGACCAGGGAAATTACAGGCAGTGTTTCTGGTTTACCCCTGTGTACTTTATATTTTGTCTTGTATGCATTTTTATCCACAGTCTGACAAACTTAGACCTGCAGATACTAACTTTCTATTCATGTGTCTAGGTGTTAAAGGGAGAATGCCAGGAAGATGAGGATGTGACCACAGACAAGGATGTTTCAAACAAGACCAAACAAGAGGAGGAAAACTTTGAGTGTGCTTTGAACAATCCAGTGTGCTGCGAACAAGCCCCTCATATGGGTGAAAAGGGTGATGAAGACAGACAACAACATAATAACACCACACTGAAAACAAATTGGGTGGAATCCACCTCGGAGGAGCCAGTCATTTATACTGAAGATGTACCTGTTTCTTGCATCTCTTATAGCAAAGATGAGAAGTTTGAGGAAGAGAATCCACATAGTATTGATTACTATAATTATTCCTACAAAAAAGAAGTTTCTCCAGAGGAGGAAAAGAAAAATGAAGGTGAGGAGGCCGTAGAAGAGTGTGAAGAATTCAAGGTAATTGCTCAACAAGGTGAGATGTGGTCCTCAACATTTGAAAAAGAAACAAACCTGCCATCTACAGAGCAAGACCTGTGTGACCATGTAATGGACAAGGTGACACCGCTTTGTCGGGATAGTGATTGGGATGAAGATGGTCGTCTTGCTGCTGAGAGATATGGCGACCACTTGCCGCAGTTCAACAAGCAAGAAGCAGTGATCGAACAAAAGGAGGAAATTGGTCTTAAGTATATTAAAGAGGACAGTGTTCTTTATGATGGTGCTGATCAAGTAAACGAGAATATGCTGACTAGTGACAACATTGTTGTCTGTGGTGAAGAACATGACAGTTCAAGTGTGGCACTACCCTGTTTGAGCGTACCTATAAAGGTTGAGAATCAAGACGATAAGATAAAAGAAGATAGAGCTATTTTATCTCTGGATGAAGATACTGATTCTACTACTCCTGGCCCTCAAATGCCATCACATGAGACAGAAGATTTGCCTGAAAACAGTGGAAATGGCACAACCGTGGTGTTGGCTGAAGAATGCAATGACCAACTGTATGACCCCCATATTCAATCTTGCTTCAATGACCAACAAAGTGTCCAAATGATGAATGACGTTTTTGACAAGGCAAGTGTCGCTGCTGATCCTGATACAGCTGAAAGCATAACTGCTTCTGTAATAACTGAAGAAATATCTTGTCCTAACCTGCCATCTATTTGCCAAGACCAACAAAGTGACCACATGGAAAATAATGAAACTTTTGATGAGATATGGGTTAATTCTGCCACAGATGCACCCGCCTGTGATAATGCCAACATTGTCCCACCTAGAATGTCTGAAGAAATATATCATCCTGACATGTCTTCCTCCCAAGACCAACAAAGTGACCAAACAAAAAACAATGGAGATTTTTCAGAAGTTACCACTGGTACTGCTCCTGTCATGACTAAGGACATTAGCCCTCCCATGTGTCAAATTCACTTGCTGTCTTTCGAGCAAAGTGAGCTGAGGGATAATGACATATCATCTCCTGGTGTTGGCGAAGAGAGTGGGATTTCAAGCATGGCTGTCAGCCCTGACTTGCAGGATCCTGGTAAGGAGTTTGATATGACCGTTGAAAATATGGCACTTCCGGTGATTGATTGTGATCTACTGCCCAAGGGACAGACAGAGGCTCAAAACAGCATATTTGCTGATGATGTAGCTATATCTGTCATTGAAGAAGATACAGTAGGTAGAGTGTTCGGGCCTTACCCTTCCCAGCCACCCCACAGTGAGCACACAGATTGGACTACTTATGAATCATTTGCAGCCAATGAGGACATGTTTGGCCATGAGATTGAAGATAGTTACCACAGAGAGATGGATCAATTTACAGCTCAGATTGCAGCCAGCATTACTAGCTTAACTGATGAGCTGAAAATACAGACCGACATGAAAGCTGTTGTTGAAGTCGTAGAGATTAAAGAGAAGAAGGCAGGAGTCATTGTTGAAAAGAAAGAGGAAACAAAAGCAGAGGAGGAGGAGGAAGAGGACAATGAAAAGACTGAAATCAGTATCATGGAGGCAACTATGGACAATAACGAATGGATCACGGAGAGTAACTTCCAAGTCCTTCCCTGGATGAAGCTTTCTCCCCCATCTTTTTCCCAAGAACACACAAAAACCAGCCAGCTTCCCACCGAAGACAGCCAATGCAGCTCAGCTGTAACAGACACCACTTGTACAGATACATCAGATACCCCCCCTTCCACTGAAGTCAAAGAAAACAACACCCTCTCCCTAGTTGACGAAAGCATGGGAAACAACAAGAAGGTTGTGGCAGTCCAGCCCATGCCCCAGAACGTCAACGTGACCTTCTGTGTCCATTATTTTACCCAATCACCATACCAGACGGTGGCTGTCACAGGGAATCTGCAGGAGCTGGGAAACTGGAAGGGATTCGTCCCGTTAGAGAGATCCAAGGATGGGCACTGGGCCACGGTGGTCAGCCTGCCCGCAGAGAGCCATGTGGAGTGGAAGTTTGTAGTAGTTGACAAGGGTGAGGTTTGTCGCTGGGAGGAATGTGGCAACCGCCTCCTTGATACGGGTTTTGGAGATGACCTGCTTGTGCAAAAATGGTGGGGACTCTTTTAAGAGGTGAGGTGAAAGGAATATTGTGAATGATATGTACAGTAAGCTTTGGTACTGGACACTGGACCAGGTAAAAGTCAAGTATTTCTACAGCCCATCACAAGACCCACATGATGATCCAGTATATTAAATGTCACCTAGGACCCTTTTGTACTGTATCACAATATTATGAATACATACTTGTAAGATTTGGTAAATTTGGGGGACAAAACACATCTAGAGGTCAAGGATAACAACTGGGTTTAATATCAAGGTAACTAACCAATGTTTCAGCAACAATTAAGATCAATTGGATATTTTTTTAAGCAAAAAGCTGGAGTTTTGGTCGGACAAAAGCAATTTAGAGATGTCACCTGATCTTGATAGGCCTTTTTAATCACTGTCTGACACTGTATTGACTAAAGTTAATCAGTCATTAAAACAATTGCTGCAGCACTATTATGTTTCAACATGTAGTTAGAACCTAATTCACACTGAAAGAGTTTTACAATTATCTTTTAAATTTTAACCATATTTAGACCAGATGTCTAGACATATTTTGACCTGCAAATTCCAACAACATGATTACTGGGATAAAGCATCGTCGAATGGGACTTTTCTTAGAGGATTTCTCTCTAATAGCCAATTATTAGGTGGATCTTTCAGGGAACTGAAAAGATTGCCATCAGAAGACAGAAGTAAATCGTCTTTCTTCTTCTTCTTCTTATGCAAACTGCACCCTTTTAAAAAGTGGGTGATTTAATGCAAGTGTTTAATTTGTATAAAGTGAGACATTATTCTACTGTCTATATGCTGCTTAAATAACCCCCAAAAATCTATGAGAATAAATGCACATAGTTCACTTTTACTACAGCAATATCAAAGCAATAATTGTTCTGTTTTCAGTATGACTGGTGTTTTATCAGGTATTCTATTGTGTTTACCACTAAACTGTGATATAGTTGTAACTTTGATGCTGCTTTTATCTTGTGGGACTTTGCATGCAAGATTGTCCCATTGTTGTTCTATGAATGTGCCTTTTAAACATGTTTTTCTATTAATGTGTTACAATGCATCAAAACAGTGTGGCTTGTCTTTTTAAACACCTTTGCTGGGCATCATTTTCTCTGTTTCACTACAACTTTAAGTGAATTAGTTACAGTATATTCATTATTTTCTCAGAACTGATGCTGTCAGTTTATTTTCTTGTTGTTTCATTACTTTATTAGTGTCAAATATAGTATATATACCTTAGATAATATCAGAGTATCTTATTATGCAAAATTGTGATGATAATGCAGTTATTGATTGTCATTAAGGTGGAGTTGGTGACCAAATAAACAAGTCTTCTGTCACGAGTATTTACGTTTCTTATACATGTTACTTTATTGAAAGAAGGTGTCTCACTCCCTAAATAAACTTGGAAATTCATTTTCAGTGATTTTAGTTACTTGAACTACTCCAGTATTTTATGCAAGCTAAACCAGATTAAGCTAATTTCAAATACTTCTGTATTACTCTGCAGCTTGTTTTTGACATGATGTGTTTGGTAAATGGTAAATGGACCTGTACTTGTATAGCGCCTTTCTAGTCTTCCGACCACTCAAAGTGCTTTTACAATACGTGCCACATTCACCCTTTCACACACATTCACTCAGTGATGGCAAAGTCCATCGAACAGAAACTAACATTCATACACACTCACACACCGATGCACGGCATCGGGAGCAATTTGGGGTTCAGTATCTTGCTCAAGGATACTTTGACATGTGGCACCAGGAGCTGGGGATCGAACCCACAACCTTCCGATTAAGGATTAAGCCTTTGACCTCTTGACCTTTAAAGTATATCATGTTGTCTCTTAGAGCAAAGATATTATTTAATATAGATAATATATAATAGGCATTGAATAGAGACATTTGCAGATCTCCCTTCCAAATAATTATCATTTTTTTTACAATTCAGTATGGCAGGTCTACTATATTATTTTTTAACCAAGCCCCAACATGTACAGATGACGTGCTGTTGAGTCTACATTTCTGTGAATCATTATCTGCTGTTGCAACAAAAAACACACACAGATTCAGTCTTGTGAGGTCTCTCTAAACCGATGCTGAAATCTTCTTTATTTCAATATCTGTGTTTCGAACAAAAAGCCAAGACTGTGACCTTGTTCTGATTCCAGCTGGCTCAGAGGTGGATCATGCAGGCAAAGCGTCATTAGCAAGCGTATTTTCATGCCAGCTTGTCAACTCCACTCAGCTCTGTGAAGGTGACTCTGCTCTATCTGAAAAGAGGGTGCTCTTCATCTTCCAGTCCAGGGACTCCATGGATGGTAAATAGCCCACACACACGTGTACGCATGCACAAGTGCAATGTTGTGCCAGTCCTGTAAATGATTAATCTGCACTGCAGGAAGCTAGGAGGTTTTGTGGGGTTATTTCAGAGGAGAAAACTAATGGGTAAGCAGTGTTGGAAGAGGAAAGGGGGAGGCATTATGGGAGGAAAGAGTGAATTGTTAATGGTTCATTTGAAGTCCAACAAATAGAATAAATTCATAGTAAGTCATGCACAGTAACAAATTAATTATCCTTCACAAAGGCAAACAAAACATTCACTGTTCATTCAGAATGAAAGAAGACTTTGTAATTGTTAAAAAAAGAATTGAACACACATTTTACCAGCCTAATAGGAACACTCCCCATGTTGACCTGCCACTGTGTGCCATTTACATGTAAATGTTACAAGTGAAATGTGATCCCTGCTGTGGTTCCACATTTGAAAGACCCCTCCACTTCTGAACCATCAGATTTGACCAGTACTCATGGGAGCCTCAAACCCTGAACCATTGCAGGATTAACACCATGCACCCCTTAGCCAAACAAGGCCTCTGGGACTCATTTGACTCACTTCAAATGGGGTCAACAGAACTCTGCCCACCTGTAAGTCACGTGATTTCAGTTTCAAAACAGGAGTTCAGGGAACTTTTGCCTGTTTGCCCTAGTGCAGAGGGCCAAATATAACAACACATGATGTTATATAGAGGCTCTGTTTGCACTGAAAGCCTCACAGCAGTAAAAAAATCTTCTATTCCTGTGTCCTGCGTCCTGATTCTAATGAACTAAATAGATAAATTATTAACGCAATAAGCTGTCCATTAGAATGACCTATAACACAGTAGTGAACATAACTAATTAGAACAGTTTGAGATTATTAAACACCTTAATGAAAAGCCAGCAGAGATTATTGGTAATATTAATGTGATCTCATGGGTCATGTGTGTTGGTTTTTGTGGTGTGTAAATGCAGCACACTGCCTCACTAGTGCTAATTTGGCAGCTGGGAGTGTGCACACTTTCTAAGGTTGAAGGTAATCCTTTATTTAGACACAAGGCTTACAACTGACACCACTTACAATCTACTCATAGGTAACGCTCTCTTTGTATGTCTCTCTCTGTCTCACATAGACGTACACATATACACACACACTATTTGTCAGATATTTAAACAGTTAAGCCACCATTGGATCAATGTTTGATCTCTGGTAAGGCAAAAGTCTTAACACTGAGTCATCGCTCTTATCTAACGCCCCTCTGTCAGGCTCTTCACATATAGAGTTAGGTTATCTAGAGTGACGAAAGCCTTCAAATCAGCACCCTAAAATGTTTTTTTCTTCCTACAATTAACAGCTAAAGAGCCTGATATTTCCCTCAGGAGTTGTTAGAGACCAAAAACAGAGCTAAAAATGAGTCAACATGGACTTACATTGGCCAGGTGGCCAGGAATTTGACTGTCAGTTTTGTGGTCATTTACTAAACATGAATGTAAATTTCAGAACAATCGTCCAACTAGATTTTGATATTTGTTGTATATTTGAAGAAATATTTTTTTTAGAATTTCAGAGACAACAAATACAATTGAAAGTCTTGCTCTTAGATTTCAAAGAACCTTTTTGTGTACCCAAGTGCTGGCCAAAGGGAAACAGATAAAAAAAAGAGAGAATCATGAAAAAGCCAGCCTCTGAGGACCATGAATGTCCATACCAAATAAAATGGCAATTTGGCAGGAAGTTATTAAGATTATTCTCTGAACCAAAGTGTTGGATGCACAGACTGAGTCACCTAACCAGGTAAAACATTGTTCAACCAACAACCAGCAATAATGTCATTTCTGTGACTGAACATTTACATGATGTCTGCTTCCTCTCCATGTTCAGACACTTCTGGAGGTTGTTCTCTCCACAGAGCTGCAGAGTGTTGCCTGTTGCCTGGGAGACTGAAACACACAGTGATCCTCAGTCCAAGTTGGACGACCAAGTGTGAAATTCTCTTTAAGTCGAGTCCGCTGTCTCCTCTTACAGAAGCTGACCAGTCCTCAGCTTTCCACTTGAACTTCGACCTAGGGAGATTGTATGATAATACCACAGCATGTGCATGTGTCTGTGTGTCTGTGTTCATTTGTACTTTACAGTGTCTTTGCCACAACATTTGTATGCATGTCTATATCTATACATGCTCACTGTACTTTGACTCCCTTTCATTTTCTTTTCTCTTCTCTGTCCCTGATTCATCCGAGTTTCTGTGTCAAATCAAACTGCTTTTTATTCCTGGCACAATAAATGTCAGCGTCTATTAATAGCACAGAGTTTAAGAGTTGAACTGACTTCTTTATTTGTCCCTGCTCCATCACTGGCATCACTGGCTTCCCTTTTTCAATGATATGGGCTGAAAGGTAATATTACGGAAGGTAATATTAAAATGACAATTCTCTGGTTAATCAGAAATAGGATCTTAGGTTGTTGCAAAATGAAAAAGTACACGGTTGTGGTTTGGGTGTTCCACACAGGCAGGCTATTTATAAAGCATACCAGTCCTCATTCCTGTCTCATAATGTGGGATCATTCAGTGACCTTCACTGTGGAGCCTGCTGACTGTGCTGCGTGGCCATAAAGGGAGGAGCAGAGCGAGGGTTAAACTGGAGGGGAAGGAGTATTATTTTCTAACCTTTATGCTGAATATGTATGGTATTCAGGCGCATCAGCAAGGTTGATTTTGTGATTTTACGACACACGGTTCCACAATTAAGTTGTATTGCATTCATGCTACACATACATATACCATATATACATCTATTTCACCTAGAAAGTTCCATGTTTATTTATTTATTTATCATGTCAAGTGGATATCTGTCTATCTAAGTGAGGAGATCTGATTTGGAAAATCTGTAACTTCTTATGGTCCTTAAAACATAATTTAAAAGCCAGCTTTTATACAATTACTACATAATTTCTCAGGATAATTTCTCTCTCTATTCCATTTTTATCTCTTTTTTTGTATTTGTTCATACCTGTTATTAACCATTGCAATTGTTTGTTATCATAAACTACTTGTTTTGTCTGTAAAACGCAGTCTCACTGTGTTTCTCAAGGTGCGTATTATTGCCCACAGCCATAAACTGTAATATACGCCAACACGTTTCTTGTTTTTTGCAGATCAGAAATCAAGCTTTTCTGGAACTGTGCCATGCTGGGACAGCCCTCTACCAGTGATGTCATTGCTCAGTAGCCCCAGAGGACACTGCAGTTGTAGGCTGAATACAATATGTCTGCAGATGTAACGGTACAGTATATATGGGACGTATGAGTGAAGATGTTGGGAGAGGAAGACGGGCAGAGAGCGAGAGAGAGAGAGAGAGAGAGAGAGAGAGAGAGAGAGAGAGCATACATAATGCAAACAAATCTGCAGGAGGTTTGGGTTGAGGCTCCCTAAAAGAGGTCAGGTTATAAAATATTTACAGTAATCGGACATTTTGGTCCTTCATACAGATTCTGACGTCTGTGTATCTTGTCACAGTGTGTATGTACAGGTTTGTGAGGCATGCATGTTTCTATCAATCAATACAACATTTACAATATCTACATAGTTTTAACTGTTTGTTTGAATCTTTTATTCTCAATTTTTATGATATGTTGTATCTGTGGGGGTTCCTAAGTACAGAAACCACAATTTGTAAACTGTTTCCCATGTGTACTTGACCTTTTGTCAAACATTAGATTTTTATCAATCAATTTTTATCATTTTTATTTGATTATATCACTCTTTTTTAATTCTTCCTACTGTATCTTTATTACTACCTTTGCCCACAGCTTTTTTGGTTCGCCTTAATGGTGAAACAATTTATCAAAAAAAGGCTATGTAAGTCAGTCAAGTTATTAGTTTTATTCACAGATGACGTAGAAACTTTGTGACGATCAAAACTTTTATCAGCCATCAAAAGTCTTATCAGATGTGAATCAGAGGAACCCGACCGAGTATAATGTGCTATCTGTTGGTCGTTGCACTGTCACTCATATGACACTTAAA